ATATTCGGCTCACTTGCAACTTCTGTCTCCTGGCTTCCAAGTGATTCTCCTGCCCTCAGCCTCCTGAGTAGCTGGAACTAACAGGCGTGTGCCACCATGCCCCGGCTAATTTTTTTTTTTTTGTATTTTTTAGTAGAGACGGGGGTTTCACTGTGTAGGACAGAATGGTCTCGTTTTCCTGACCTCATGATCTGCCCACCTCAGCCTCCCAAAATGCTGGGATTACAGGCGTGAGCCACTGCACCTGGCCAGCATCTAGCTTTTAATAAGTCACTATTAAGGAATGACTGGGCTTTGGTCTTTTCCTCTTTAGAATCTCCATGTTACTTATCCTCCAACAATACCACTGGTGTGGCATTTTTTTCAAAGTTGGAAAGAAAATAGTGGAAAACAACAAGAGAATTATGAAGTTTATTTTGCAATTGGTTGGGTCTTGACAGAGCCATCAACTTTTTAATTCCTGAATCTATTATTCTGTTTCCAAATCAGTTCAGGCACACTTTAGGATGTCCAGTCTGAAATTCTAAGAGAATCTATTTTATTTCAGTTTCCTTCTATGCACATTAAAGGCAGATGTTAGCACCTGTTTCAATTCCAAAACTTCTCTTCAGAAGATTTTTCTGCCTCTTGAGGTATTTTACAGTTTTGCATAAGCAAACAGGAAGCCTACTCACTATATGGACTAACAAACTATTTTATTATTGATCATGAATTAATTATATTTTGGCGGGAAAACCTCAAATACTGTAGAAACTTCCATTTTTATTGAACGGTTCTAGTGTGTATTTCAGAAGTTATTGCTCCATCTTCTTATGTGTGATCATTAATAAGAGATATGACTGGGCGCGATGGCTCACACTTGTAATCCCAGCACTTTGGGAGGCTGAGACAGGTGGATCACGAGGTCAGGAGATCGAGACCATCCTGGCTAACGCGGTGAACCCCGTCTGTACTGAAAATACAAAAAATTAGCCGGGCGTGGTGGCGGGCGCCTGTAGTCCCAGCTACTCGGGAGACTGAGGCAGGAGAATTGTGTGAACCCAGGAAGCGGAGCTTGCAGTGAGCGGAGATCACGCCACTGCACTCCAGCCTGGGTGACAGAGCGAGACTCTGTCTCAGAAAAAACAAAAAACAAAACAAAACAAAAAGGCAGGCGAGGGGCAGGTGTGGCAGCACTACGTTGATGAATATTAAATGTGTAGTCAGGTTTCTCTCCATCTATAGACAGTCTATGATAGCCTTTCATTCCCACTGGCAGAAAACAAGTAAGGGATAAGTATTGTAAAGGAAATGAATAAGTAAATAAATAAAACCAAAGAGAAGGGGACCTGTTGGTTTCAGGCAGATGATCTTTGTAAGAAGACTCTGAGGTGAAACAATATTTTCCTCTCTAAACCCTTGGGGCCAAGATAAGTAGTACCTCTTGATGTGTTTCCAGACAACACTTAATCTAAGAGTTATTGTGGTAGAGTCTAGCGGGTTGTTGGGATTTAGAATCTGGAGAAGGCATGGATTAGTTACTGACGTCAATGAAGACTAGAAGACTGGAATTGTCAAGCCAGGAGGTAACACTCTATATGAGACAACTTTTGAGATCATCATATGGTATCTGTGCATTTCAACCAGAATGTTTGGAGTATTACCAACAAAGGAGAGAGGGTTGATCACCGAAGAGCTTGATCCTCTGGGGTCAAGGGTGGGGCTCCTTGATTGATCAGGTGGCCTCACCTCTCTCTTTAGATGAGATGCAGCCAAAGTCAATGCTTCTCAGAGAAGAAAGAGAGCATGAGAGAGACTGAACCCATCATAGAGCAATAAAATCGGTGTTGAGCTGAACTGTTGACCTGGTTAGCGGCCAGAATAGCAGAAGCAGAGAGCTTTTACGGTCAGGCTCAGACATGGAAAATGGGGAAACTGAGATGCTTGCACTTACCTACATTCCAAAGACTGATGGCATAGGTTGGGAAAGAAAGAAAATAATGTCTAGAAACAGGTCCCAGAATTTTGTTTTTAGATACTCACTGGCTTAGTTAGCAACATCAGGGCTTAATTTTCTTGATTTCAGAAAAATGGAATTACTGATTAAACAAGACCATGGTTGTCCTACCACTTGAAGTGAGCAAATACTGGGAATGCTGCAAATGCACCTCTTCTGCAAGGCGTATTGGTACCTTGGGTGCCTTTTGCTCAGATGTCTGCTATAAAATGCCTGTGAATGTCTGTGAAATTGCACGGTGGCTGGTGAAGGGGAGAGACTTTCTATAACTTCTTGGCTTTATGTGTGGACATAATAACTCTTAGATTAAATGTTGTCTGGAAAATCATCTCTTATTATTCCCAAGCAAAATATGTTTTCTGCTGCAACAGTTAATTGCTTCACTGTTGAACTATTTCATTCATTCAGCCAATAACTGGGCACTCACTATTTAGCACGCACAGTACTTTTCATGTCCATTCAGATTGCATTTACACTGATAGTTGTCCTGTGAGTGGACATTTGGTACCACTTAGACAGGGATAGAATGTAAATATGGGGGCACATTACAGATGAAGCTGCTGCTTCTTAGGATGAAGGATTCCTAGAGATGTAATAACATCAATTATTTCTATGAAAAACCACAACATAAAAGGCTGACTTCCATCAACGTGATTTGAAGAAAGAGATTTATTTATAGGTTACCAGGGCTCATGCCCTGGCTGGACGATTCATCTTTTCACAAAGAAATTCCCAGGAGAATCTGCCTGATTTCTAGTCTCTTCATGTTCACAATGTTCACAATGGGAGGATCCGTCTAACTTTATATTTACTTTGTAAACGTCTTTCAACCATGCATAGCTTTTCTAGAGCATAAACCTCAAAATACTTCTCATGCCTCCAATGCAACATTAAACTAAAAGAAAACTTGAGAGCTATATCAAAGAGAAATAAATAATTATTTAAGTTCTAGTTTTTTTGGTGGGGGGAGGGGGGAGTAGCAAGTTGCTTTTATTTTTGAGATGGAATCTCGCTCTGTCACCCAGGCTGGAGTGCAGTGGCATGATCTCAGCTCGCTGCAACCTCCACCTCCTGGGTTCAAGCGATTCTCCTGCCCCAGCCTCCCAAGTAGCTGGGATTACAGGCACACGCCACCATGTCCAGCTAATTTTTATATTTTTAGTTGAGACAGGGTTTCATCATGTTGGCCAGGCTGGTCTCAAACTCCTGGCCGCAAGTGATCCACTTGCCTCGCCCTCCCAAAGTGTTGGGATTACAGGTGTTAGCCACCGTGTCCAGCCCCTATGAAGTCTTTTAATCCTTGTAATAAACCTCTGAGATTGGTACTATTGCTTTCCTATTTTACAGATGAGGAAATAGAGGTGCAGAGGCCAGGGAAAAAGGTCAAGATCACAATGCTAATAGTAAGTGCAAATTTGGGGTATGAACTTGTACAGCATGGATTCAGAATGGGTGCTTGTATCTACTACTTTAGGCAAGGAGAAACAACAAGAGCAAAGTAGGTGGTTATTATGTGTGAATTCTCCTCCTAACTTCGCATCTTAATTTATTTCCAGTCACTATATCTGCCTCGTTGAAAATGAGAGCAAGTTAAAATATGAGAACTAAAATGACACCCGGTGTTCTGTTCTTCGGTCAAGGGCTCTGGTGTGTGAGTGTGTAAGGGATTGGAGGAGGGAGCGGGCAGAGGCAGAAATGGGAAGCTTTTTAGGCCAGATGCCAGCTCCAGAATGTGATCATATAAATGTGAGCCCCGTACATTTAATAAATAACAGTCCTGGTTCTTAGCTCATTGACGTATCCTCAATGTGCCTCAGACTTTACCCTGGTATCGGTAGTGGGGGTCAAGGCAGGGGGAGGGATACAAGAGAAAGACAACCGATACCTGGATGGATTCAGATCAGATACCTTCGAGAACAGAGATGTGGAAAATCTAGGTGGAATGGCAGAACTAAAGAATGATTTTTTGTTTTTCCCCCACATTCAGAGGAGTTGGAACATTGGGCAGGGGAATGTCTCTGGTATTAGAAAAAGAGAGAGCGGGCAGTTGGGGTTTGTTTGGAGACAGGTTTGCCTTCTCAACCTGCTAAAGGCCAAAAGGATCATAGCCGGAAATGCTTCCCCCCAACCCCTCCCCCAGCAGAAAGCTTTTTGAGCTTTGCTATAGAAAGAAGGGGAGGAAAGCCAAGAAAAATGCCTCACCAAAATGAGGCTTTTTCTTGGCTTTCTGAAATATCCATGCCAGTTGATAGCTTTGTGAGCTCCTGGTCTGTGCATCCGCTACGTTAATGCCTTTAAAGCCACCGCCTTCGGAGGCTTCATTGCCTTGCCTAGGTTAGCAGGGGTGGATGTTTACATTCAGGGCTCTGAATGAAAATGAAAGCGTTGGCTGTGTTACATTTATTTATGTGTTTGTCTTGCTCTGTTGCTCAGGCTGGAGTGCAATGGCATGATTTTGGCTCACTGCAACCTCCACCTCCTGGGTTCAAGTGATTCTCCTGCCTCAGCCTCCCGAGTAGCTGGGATTACAGGCACATGTCACCACAGCCGGCTAATTTTGTATTTTTAGTAGAGATGTGGTTTCACCATGCTGGTCATGCTGGTCCCAAACTCCTGACCTCAGGTGATCCGCCCACTTTGGCTTCCCAAAATGCTCGGATTACAGGCGTGAGCCACCATGCTTGGCCTATTTATTTATTTTTTTTTGAGACTGGGTGTTTCTCTGTTGTCCAGGCTAGAGTGCAGTGGCATGAACCCAGCTCACTGCAGCCTCAACCACCTGGCCTCAAGGGATTCTCCTGACTTAGCTTCCCGAGTAGCTGGGACTACAGGCATGCACCACCATGCCTGGCTAATTTTTTTAATTGTCTTGTAGAAATGAGGTCTCACTTTGTTACCCAGGCTGGTCTCAAACTCCTGGGCTAAGGCCATCCTCCTGCCTTGGCCTCCCAAAGTGTTGGGATTACAGGCATGAGCCACTGTACCTGGCCCAGCTGTGTTACCTTTTGTTACCTGCACATACACAGGCCTCCAAGAGAGAACCTCTATATATCTGCATCTCACCTTTATTCCTGCAAAAAGGAAATTTCCATTGCCTGGAAGGACCTACATGGAACTTACAAGAGATTGGCCTCAAATCTGACAAGCAGGCCCCTGAACAAGCTTCATATCATTGAGTGAAGAAAAAAGTCAGCTGTTTGTTTTATTCCTTCATTAATATCTGCAAAGTTTGCATTTTGCCATTCAGGTTTTAAATAAATATACCCAGTGATGGACATTTAAGTCAGTCACTTAAATTTTCCTCCGAGTATCTCAAGCCTGTGAAAGGGCCCAGAATGAAAGGCAACTGTTTATCAAGGTCTTTCGTCTCGGATTGTCTCAGACAGTCTCTGATCTGAGATTTACTGTGATATGAAAAACTAGCTCACAGTCATCTGGGGGTGCCGTGCCTCACTTTAAGAGAAAGGAGATGTCTCGATATCCTAACCTCGTGATCCACCTGCCTTGGACTCCCAAAGTGCTGGGATTGCAGGCGTGAGCTCCGTCTCTACTAAAAATACAAAAAGTTAGCCTGGCGTGGTGGTGGGCACCTGTAGTCCCAGCTACTCGGGAGGCTGAGTCAGGAGAATGGTGTGAACCTGAGAGGCGGAGCTTGCAGTGAGCTGAGATAGTGCCACTGCACTCCAGTCTGGGCGACAGAGCGAGACTCTGTCTCAAAAAAAAAAAAAAAAAAAAAAAAAAAAAGAGAAAGGAGATGTTAGAGCATTTCCAATAGACTTCTTTGCTTTAAAGGTATTCAGGACAGGTCTGTTATAAATAAAGGTTCTCTTTTGCCTTTAGAGATCATTTGCATGTACTTTTTCATAAACAAGTTTACTAACTGTGTGCTGCTTAGACTCTAGAACTTCTGAGAAGAAAAAGACTGTACAAAAACTCTGGTGAATTCTAAGGGCACCCTTGTTGGGGGCCTTGTGGCTTAGTAATAAAATCCCCATTATCCTGCCCTCCTTCCTGGCTAGATATTTCCATCCTGACAGAGGCTTCTGAGAGCCTAGAGCAGGTGACGTGGGGAGGAGCAGCTGGAGAGCTGGGGTAGTGGTGCAAAGAGCTAGCCCGGCCATGGGCTTTGGCTGTCCTGAGGACTGAGCCTGCATCTACCACAAGCTAGACTTGTAGCCTTGGGTAACTTTTTCAACCCCTATGAGTCTAGGTTACCTCACGTGGAAAGTAGACCTGGTCACACATACTTCACATGGTTGTGGTCAAAAGTCAACTTCCCTCTCCCTCTCAATCCCTGGTTTTGCTTGGATAACCCCTCCCCAGCCTGTCTTCCCCTGCTGAAATGTCACTTCTTCCAGAAGCCCTTTCTATCTGGCTGAGAATCTCTCCTCCTCAGGACTCCAGCTTGACTTTCTCCTGTCATAGCTCCTTTCAGGCTATATTATATTATGTCTCTTGCCCATTAAACTCTGTGAAGACAGGAAACAGGTATGTTGTGTTTGCAGTTCCTGGCATTGTTGGCTCTTGCTATTTGTAGAATGGAGTTGAATGGACGCACGTGAAATAACCTAACAAACATGTGGCCTGTGGTGGTGATCCCTCTCCTGTCCTTGCTCTCTCTTTAACAGGTTACAACTCTAGGCAGACGATTAATACTGTAGTAGTCACTTGCTCACACATCTGGATTTCTCTTCTGACCAAATCAATACCTAAAGCTAGAACTTTTTGGTTTCTCTGTTTCTATATTCTCCTGTCTGTATAAAATTCCTTCCTGTTTGCATCAAACAACTTGGTTTTGGGGGTTTTCTGAAACTTTCTTAAAAACTGACCATTTGGGCCAGGCATGGTGGCTTACACCTGTAATCCCAGCACTTTGGAAGGCTGAAGCGGGTGGATCACCTGAGGTCAGAAGTTTGAGACCAGCCTGGCCAATGTAGTGAAACCCTATCTCTACTAAAAATGCAAAAATTAGCTGGACATGGTTGTGGGTGCCTATAATCCCAACTACTTGGGAGGCTGAATCACTTGAACCCAGGAGGTGGAGGTTGCAGTGAGCTGAGATTATATTATTGCATTTCAGCCTGGGAGAAGAGAGTGAAGCTCCATCTCAAAACACACAAACAAAAACCTGACCATCTGATGTGCTCCTCTGAGAGTGCCCGTCTTAGGAACCAAGAAGGAGCTGGTTGTTGGGAGATAAGAACCTGGATAAGTCCGTCACAGTGGTGGGGAGAGGAGAAGAGAGGAGCAGGGCAGGGGCTGGGGGAGACACCATGTTGGATTGTGGGGGAGACACCATGCAAAGGGGAGGGGAAGATATTTGGCACGAGGGGTACTGACCTGGCACTCCCCATACATGTTTGACAAGTGGAAATACTGAAAATAAGATGATATGTGATGGTTCATCACAGCTGTTTTCTTCTGAATAAAAAGGGTGAGGACTAGGAAGAGGTAAAATAGAAGAGTTGTGGTCACAGGGAAGTGAAAACTATTGCTCTACCCCCATCTGGCCTTAAAACCGTATGGGACCTGTGCTGGAATAACAGTGCTGCTTATTTTTGCCATACTGCTTGGCCTCACCTGGGCCTGCCCATTCTTGTCACCTGGCTCCCATGGCTGCAAAACTTGGCTGGGTTGGAAGAGTTTAGAGTCAGTTCTAGTGTCAATTCTCATTGTCAGTTCTTATTGTCAGTAATGATTAACTTCATGGCTAGCTATCACTGAGAGATGAAAATTCAAGTAATTCTCAGGCTAGTAAGGTAATCCCTACCTTTCACTATGGATTACTGGAAAAATTCAGTGAGGAAAGGTAAAGGGAAAAATGTAGATAAGTCAAAATTCCCTCGGAGGATGGAAAATGAAGGAGTTTCCCTGTCGCTACAATTAATAAACACCACCTACACTAAGATCTACGTGTTACGAAATGGTAGAAGTTGAGAAGCAACTTTTAGGATTCAGTGACCTGGATTTAAGTGAGCGGTGGCTGAGGGTTGGGTGGCGCATACTCAGCTGTTGACTGCATATGAGCAAAGTGGCTTCATTTGGCAACGTGCCCCTTCACTCCCTGATATAAAAGCATAAAGGAAACAGCTCTCCTTAGCTTTCTTCACTCATGTTTCCCACATGCTTGTTTCTATCTCTGTTTTTGGTTGTTGTCTCACCAGTTTTACATGTACTGCTGAGTTAACTGATTTTCTTATAAATATTTGTGTATTCCAAGGACTGTGGCCACCCCCATCCCAGTATTCATTGTTATTCTCTCACCTTCACTGACTCAGTACAATTCCCTCCACTGTACTGGTTGAGATGTCTCCTTTAGAGGCTTGCTTCTCTGTGCTTAAGGCATTACATCTGGTGTAATACTTCCAGTGACCAACACCTTTAGCTCATCTCACTCATCTTC